AGCAGGACGTAGCGTGTGATCTGATTTTTCTGGGGCGCTGCGGCGTTATCAGCTGTCGGCGCCCGCGCAAGCGTTCGCTGGAGTAAATTTATGTAGCGGGACCTTCACCCCAGGTTGTATTCATTTTGTTTTCCACAAACCTTCATGTTTGCTTGCACATGTTACGTGTGTTGTTTTTTTCGATGTTTGGTGGAACCTTCATCTGAGGTTGCACATATAATTTTCCGAGGGGTTTCACCTGGGGTTGCACATGTGGGTTTTCCCCGCGGGAGTAAATTTACTCGCGGCATGCGCCGCCCCCCCGGCCAGTCCGAAGCCCCTCGCCCCGCCGTCTACTCCCCTCGTCGCGGGCGCGGCGGGGGGATGGGGGGTGGAGGGGGTGAGGAGGGGTGAAGGGCGAGGGGGCATGGAAAACGAAGGGATGGTCGGATGGAGTGACGGGGTCAGGGATGCCGAGTTGTACTTCAGGGATCGTTAGCACAATCTCCGAGTTGTAAATGATGGCGGCGGGGTGGGCTGAACGCGGCTGGGGGCGTGGTTCGAGCGCGCCGCGCCCTGGGCACAACGCAAGGGCACTGGGCGCACCCCCGGTTGCACTCGCATCTGGGGTTGAACGTTTTTCTCCTCCCGAGTGTTGGACGAAGTGGGAACCTTTCTCAGAAAGCAGGGCCAGCCGTTCATCGTTGCAGGAGATTGGAACTGCACGATCGATGCAATGCATGAGCCTGGCCTCCAAGTTTTCATGGAGGCGGCGTGGCAAGGCCCATCGGACCCAGTGCCAGGAGGTGATCGCCTCATCGACTTCCTCTTGGTCCGCGCAGACTTGGCCAGCTTGGCCGGAGTGTGCTGGGGCGAGAGCGGACAATGGGATGCGCCGCCCTCGCGGCAGGTGATTCGGCATCTGGTCGATCAGGTTTTGATGCCCGAGCGAGCGCCGGTCCCTGCCCCGGCATGCCATGGGAATGGCACCATATCCGAGTGGATTCGCAACTGGCGGAGAGCACAGCTAAGTCTTCGGAGGATACTCGTCCGCCAGGCCAGGCCCAGCCAAGAGGCACATTGTTCTCGCGCGGGGGGGGCTGAGAGTTTCGCGCGCGCCGGGCCGTTGAAGCTGAGTTCGAAAGGGGCCAGCAGCGCCGATGCTGGCCAGTCGAGACCGTCGGGGCGCCGATGGCCTTCTCCAAGCCGATAGTTTGGCAGGCAGAGTACAGGGGTCTGAGTGCATGGGTCACCTTGGCGGCCAAGGCTGCAGATTGGGCCCGTCTCCGTGGGGGGCGCGCGCGACCTCGAGCGCGCGAGTGAGCGTGGGCGGCGGTGGAGCACGAGCTCGCGGCTGCCAAGGCCCCCCCTCTGTCTTGACGCGCGAGAGAGATGAGACGGCACTTCGAGCCGCGAAGGGCCCATGCGAAGTCCAAAGTTTCACAGCGCGGAAGAACAGACACGGCGCGCCCAGCGCGCAGTCGAAACTGTAGAATTTCATTTCATCAGAGCCAGACAAACGAGTTTCAAGGATTGGACCAGCGACACCTGGTCCAGAGGAGCTGGGGCCCTGCATGTCTGGACTAAGTCTCGGGCCGAGCCTGTCCCTGAGCTGGCTGAAAAGAAGGCGGATGGCACGGTCATCAGGGGCCCCGCTGAGGCCATGGATGTGAAGGCTCAATGCGTGGGGCCCCGTTGGTGACCGAGCTCTGGAGACTTGGGGGGCCCTGTAGGCTGGCGGGGGGGTTCTGCGCCCCCGCTTCCAGGCCCCCTTTCGTCGAGCTCGTGCTCGATCAGCTGCAAGCAGCCCTCTGGAGTTCTACAGGTGTCGCAGAGCAGGGGGCTGATCGGCAAATCCCCAACGGGTGGAGTCGAATCCCAAAGGAAGGGCGAGAGGACCCTTTGGAGATCCTCAGAGCAGTTGAGTCCGCAGGTGAACTGCCGCCAGAAGTGCTGCTTAACCTGTTGCAGCTCATCCATCAAAGCCACATCGAAGACGCGCCGGCACCCCCGCCCAGCCCTCGGGCTCGGGCCGGAGGCCCACGGAGCTCCGGAGTGGGCGGCTCCGCGCGGAAGGAGTGGCGTCGAGTCGAGAGTCAGTTCCCCAGAATGATCCGATAATGCCGGCTTCAACCAGCACGCAGATTTGTCTAAGCTCGCGCTTTGGCAAGTTTCAGGTCCATGCGCGCCGATCCCAGGCCGCCTAATCCATCCACCTGAGTAGACGACGCAGGGCGCACTGAGAGAGGGCGCGAGGCAGATGTTTTGGATCCAGCGGCCCAGTTTCCAAAGCGTCACGAGATTGGGCAAGTCGGGGTTTACGGTGCCCATCAAGTCCACGCTCGTGGCCGCCCCACCCCCGCGCATAGCCGACGCCATTGTTGCCGGGCTGGCCAGGGATAGAGTTGTGCTCGAGTTCCCGCGTCGCATCGAGGATTTTGGAATCGATGGCCACGTGGCCAGGGGGAGCACGAGCGTTACTACATATCGGCTCGCCAAATGGAAAGAAGCACGCCGCCCAGATCGGCCAAATCGCCCAGTCTGTTCCGCAAGCTGGAGTTTTAGCCAGGACGGGTTTCAGGCCAATATCCGCGCGTTGGGCGCCCGCCCGATGGGTCAGCCCATCCGCGCAGCTGCAGCAGCGCGCTACGGTCGCGGCCCTCGCTGGCGCAAGCGCCCCGGAGGTTGCCCGGCTGCCCAGTCGTTGGCATTGCGCTAGGGTTCAGTGGCAAGGATGACCCCATGGTCCAAGGGCGAATGCAGGCATTGGAAGCTTGGCTAGACATTCCCGCATCTAGCCGGCTCACCTCCGCGTTGGGGCTCGTCCTTGGGGGGTGGGGGTTCGAAGACCTCATCGGGGCTGTCCTGGGGTGCGACCTTGATCTCCGATGGGAACCCTTTGAGCCCGCGGTTTGGAGAAACCTTGGAGGCGCCAGGCTTACGATGCTAGAGATAGACCGTGAGAGTCTTCTAGCCTTCGAGATTCGCAACGCACATGATCATGGGCGCTGGATGCGCGCATGTAACACGTCAATAGCAAGATGGCACAGGATGGCGTTGATCTCGTGGGCTGGAAGAGGCAACTGGCCAGTTTAGTCGGGGAGAAAGCGTCTGATCAGGCTGCGGTTCCCAGGCTGGCAGCAACAGGTGCCCGCTCGCCCACGGCAAGGTTCATCGGAACCGAGAGTAGGGGAGGGATCTTTCTTGCCTCGTCCCCTGGAGCTGCCATTGCTGCGGTTGCTGCTGCCCTTCCAGCCCCTGGCCTCCCTCGGACCTTTCAGTTTTCCTGTAGTGTCGAGGGCGTCAATGGGCACCCCCGAAGCCGATTTGGAGTAGGAGAGGTCTTTCGGTGAGGCGGTGGAGGAGGAACTTGATTTGGAAATGGACGAGCCACCTGTGTTGGATGACTTCCAGACAACGCCTCGAGAATGGACGCAGCTTTTGCGTCCTCGTTGTAGGCCTTGCGGAGTGACGGCCTTTGTGTACAAAAAAGGAAGTGCTCGTGCAACCAGGATATTGTTGGCCCAGGTCAGCACAGGGAACTCTTGGACCAAGCGCGAGAGAGGTGCGAGGATGAACCGTGCTTTTGGCTGCGTGGTCTTCCCCTCTCGCCTGGACCTTCAACGCCGCGCAGCTGGCCGCCCGAGGCAGCGAGACCCTGAGCAGCGAGCTAAGACCAGGTATGGCATTTCTTCCCAGTGGTGCTTTCATTCCGCGGGGCGGCTTTGGAGGAGCCTGCTCTGTTGCCAACAGGCTTGGGAAATGTGTCTGGGGTGGTGGTGTTTCTCTCGCGCATGATAGTTTCAGATGGGGCCAAGGGCCCGCTTCCGACGCTTAAGCAGACTTTTTTATTGGAAGAGATTTCTGGGCGTGTTCGAAGATGACCTGACTCACAGAAGGATCTCTTGTCAATATAGGAGATATTTATTCGTTGCCCTTGATACCAGCCAGGGCCTCAAAGGGAAGCACCTGGAGAACGCGTAGGTGTTTTTTTTTGGGGGGGGGGTAGAAGTGATGGCAGGAGGGTTCGTGCGGCCAAAATCAAATCACACGAATCAGCCCTCGATTTCATCCACGTGCGAGGCAGCCAGCTTGCGCACTGGGCGGGCCACTTCGTTGCTGACATGTTGGCAGCTGAGGCAGCCAGATAATCCCAGTTTCCCAGGCTGTGCTATTGCCGAGGTGGTTAGAGTGGACCATCTCACCCTTCGGGTGCAGGGACACATCCTAGTGGTAACAGCTCATGTGGCCCAAGCGGCCTCCGAGATTTTCGGGGCCAGCTGCGTCGAGGATGGGAGGCGTGAAGCTAGGCGTCGGAAGACTGAGCGCGCTGATCACCTCGCCGAGCTGCACTGCTCACCAGGTTATCCAGAAGAAGGACAAGCCCATGGAGTGCGCGAAATGTTTTCCCTCGCCAGCGCAACCCTGCTCGGCAGAGCGGCTCCGAGCTCTGTGTCCACGGAAAGCCGTGCTGCATCCATTCGAGCCACCAGCACGTTCAATTTTGAGGTTTTTCTGTTCGGTGCCGTGACTGTGGAGGCAGGGCAGCTGTCTCTTTTTCAACGATTGGGAGAGTCTGTGCTGGCCAGATCACGACCGCGGGCACAAGGCATGGCCAGGGACTTCAAGGCATGGCCAGAACCCGAGCAGCAGCATTCCCATCCCCAGCCGATGGCCATGTTGTGATTCTGTTTTTGGAGGACGGGCCCAGTCGTGGCTGCTGGGGTGGAGGGAGGAAACCCATCTGGGCACCTGGAAACATACGGATGGACCCTCCTCCGAAGTTCAATTGGGGCTCCGCGACGTGGACTCAGCCCTTACGTTCGGCAAGCGGCAGGAGGAGGAGGAGGAGGAGGAGGAGGAGGAGGAGGAGGAGGAGGAGGAGGAGGAGGAGGAGGAGGAGGAGGAGGAGGAGGAGGAGGAGGAGGAGGAGGAGGAGGAGGTGGAGGAGGGAGGGGACGTGGAGGAGGAGGCGGCAGAGGTTCCCTCGCCTCGGCCGAGGGGGCGGCGGGCCAGCGCAGGCCCCGCCACACCGAGGAGCGCGGGGCTCCGGAGCAGGCAGGCCTGGACCGCCAGGCCTCCGCGGAGGCGCCCTCCGCCCCCTGCCCGGTGGCGGAGCCCGGCCGGTTTCTCGGGGCCTGCGCGGCCGGTTCTCGGGAGTTGTCTTGTGTTCGTCAGAGCGTGAATTACCTACCCCGCTTTCGCTTCCAGGCAAAACCAAGCCATACTTCGCGCCTCCTCGTCAAGCGGCCTGACCAGTACAGGCCGTAGTTTGGCATCGTTTGGTATCTCTTGGAAGCGAGGGTGGTCGAAAGCGAGGTAGGTGTGTTTTCCCCCTAAGTCCGGGGGCGGCAAAGAGGGGGGTGATGACTAGGGGGGGTGGATGTCCTGGCGCGGGCCACGAGATGCCCCCAGATTCTGCAGGGCGCCTCTTCTTGTTCCATGGCGTCCCTGGCCCCCCCCGCGGGGCCGCGCACGTGCCGCCGGTCATGATTTGCACCCCCCCCCCTCTTGGACACCCCCCTCGTGGCCGCTCCCGAGGCAGGTTCTTGGGAGCTGTCGTGCTTGTGTGAGGTCTGGGCGGCATCGGCCGACTGATCGGCCCTCGGCCTCCTCCCCCCGCCCCCCCGTCCCCAGGATCACGGCACAATAGTCGTTGGGAGAGGAAGCAGCACACAGGCATGATGGATCGTCGATTCCCAGGAAGGTATGGGGAAATATTTGGGAAGCGGGGGGGAAGACACAAACCCAGAAAATGTGCGGGAGTATGGGGAATCCCGCTATCAGTGTGCATTTGTTTTTGTGTGTCTTTGGGCCCCTTGAATTCAGCCCACGTGTGCAGAGATTCTTACGGATGCTTCGGTGATTTGTTTCAGATTTCTGGCGGCCCTCCGCAGTGATGTAACCGAGGGGACGAACTCCCCATCCCCCGATCACGCCCGTCATCGCGAACAATGGACAAACAAGCTCCAGACCATCTCTGGTTTAGACGGGCTTGTTTCATCAAGCGGCTTTCTGTTATTGAGGACGTGGCTTTTCTTCTTGCATCAGTTTTCGGCGCTTGGGGCAGTGGGCCTACAGGAGGAATGCCTCACGGCTGGGCTCTGTTCCAGGGGGGGTGGTCGCAGACGAGTCCGCCCCGTCCTTCTCATTTCAGGTTTCCCCCCCCCCCCCCCGAGATCCGAGCGTTCCATTCCTTCGGCGGCGAACTCCGAAGCCGACCCTCCCTGGTCGACGACCCCGGCCGCTCGATGCGCGGCGGGGGCAGGGCTCGGCATGCGGCGAGCGCGTGGCGGGATCCGAGCCTTGCCTTATGTCGGTGTCGGGCGTGTCCCCCTACAGGGGGATTTTCGACGAGCCAGAAGAAAAAACCCAAAATGCCCCAGAAAGGCCCAGACATAGTCCAACAATAGTCCCCAGGCTATGTTTTGACTATTTGTTGATTCTTTTTCGGGGTGCTTTTTATCATTCGTCGAAAATCCCCCTGTAGGGGGACAGGCCCTTTTCAATCCTTGCCCCCGCCTCGATGGTTGCTGGGGGGTTGCTCCTCTCCTTCCCTTCTCCTCCTCCTCCTCCTCCTTCTCCTTGAGAGGACACTTCATCCTCCTCCTCCTCCTCCTCCTCCTCCTCCTCCTCTTCCCTTTCCTCCTCTTCCCTTTCCTCCTCTTCCCTCCTCCTCCTCCTCCTCCTCCTCCTCCTCCTCCACCTCCTTCTCCTTGAGAGGACACTTCATCCGAGGCAACTATCGATCCCGAGCCATCGATGGTTGCTGGGGGGCGGCAGCTCCCTCGCCAGCCGCGGGGCAGGGACGCGGAGCGAGGGGCTCCTCGCTCCGCCTCCCTGCGCACGCCCCGGGGACCGTTCCCGTCGGGTGCTCGGGCGCTCCCGGGGAGCCCTCGAAGGACTGCAAAAAAAACCCAGGACTGCAAACAAAAAAAAAACCCGTTCGTTTTGCAAAAAAAACAGGATTGCAAAAAAACCCAGGATTGCGAAAAAAACCCAGGTTTTTTGTTTGCAATCCTTCGTTTTTTGAGGTTCTCGGACGCTCTGCTCAGGTCCCAGAGGTCTCCCAGACTCGGGAGGCTCTCCCGCAGCTGCGCCTCGCGAGAGCGTGCTGGGTTTGCCCGAACCGTCCCGATCCGTTGTCGGAGAGTCCTTTCTGTACGGTGCAGTCCGCGCGCATTGGCAGGTCTACCTTGCAAAATCAAAGGGTACTCAGCGTGTCCTGCCCATCCCGTCTCATGTCCTCAGCGTCTTCGAACTAAGGGTACCCTTGTGTCCTGTGGTTGTTGGAGGCCATGTTGCCGTCGGAAGATTCTCGTGTCCTGTCGCGTGTCCTCTCGTATGCGCTCCGACTGTAGAAGGAACTAATTCGTGGACATTCCCCCGCTCCCCCAAACTCAAAGTTGGCACGCAAGGGGAAGACTTCGGTCGAAGTGCAGTTCACTTAAAGTTGGCACGCAACGGGAAGACTTCGGTCGAAGTGCAGCTCACTGAACCCACCGCCAACATCGATCATCGGGGGGGGGGGGGTATTGACAGATGATGCGGCACGAGTGTTCGTGAATTTCTTCCGAGGCTTGCATCCAGCGGGCGCAGAAGGTCGGAGGTTGACAGGCCTCCTACCCGGACACGTCGATTAGCGAAGTGGCCGTTTTCTGTTCGCCAGAGGGCGTCCCGGCCGCCGTTCTTGCGGTTCCAGGTCCGCCGGTTTCGGTCCTCGGCCATTTTCACTCAAGGGAGGTTTACGAAAGGGAGGTTTGTCCACCGCCGAGAAGGGTATAACATACACTCGTCCGTCACCACGGGCGCCTCTCCCAGGGCGGTTGGAAAGCTTATACTTTGACGGGCCACCGCGAGGGCATGAATTTCCCAGCCGCCATCTGGGACTGGCGGCCCCGACGGCGGGTAAGCTTATTTTATACCCATCTTCGCCTGTGAATGTCAGGAGAAAAAAGAATCACGCAGACACAAGGAATCGTCGATCCCCTGGATAATATGGAAAATATGGTAAGTGGGGGGGAAGACCGAGCCCAAGAAAATACAGAGAATTCTGGGATTTGTGTGTATTCATTTGTGTGTCCCAAGGCTCCTTCAGTATGGCCCAGCAATCACCCGGCTGGAGGCAGGATCGGACCCCGAATTCCGAGGGCCGGGTCGTTTGTTTGTTGTGGGTCGTCCACAGAGAGTCGCCTCGTCGCCAACGTGGCCAGATCCACCTCGCGATCCTTGTCGGCGCGCGCCCCGGGGCAGCACACCGGGACGGGTCCGGGTCGGCCTCTCCGGCAGGCGGGGGTCAACGCAAGCGGGGGTCGGCCAGGGCGCCCGATCTTGCAGGATCTTGCAGGGCCAGGGTCGCATTGACCAGGGTCTGGGTGCAGGATCTTGCAGGACCCTTCGCACTGACCCGGGGTTGGGTGCAGGACCTTGCAAGACTCTGCAGGGCCGGACTGGCCCGGGTCTGGACTGACCCGGGTCAGAAGGTACCCGATCTCTGACACCCTCGGGCGCCTTGCCGAAAATTACAGGCGACCCGCATGGCAAGGATGGGCAACCTCCCCAAGGGTCCCCTCGCATCCTTGCCTCCTCGGCCCATCCTTGGCCACGTTCGCTTGCCGCGCCCCGCTCCATTAGCTTCGACATGGCCTTCCAAGGCCCTTGCGTCCTTATCGCGCATCCCTATGATACGGGTCGACTGTACGGCGGGGGGCGGGCTTCTGGCGATTTTCGATCTCCGAAGGCCCCTGCTGGCTGGGCCACGGGGCCGTCACACAGAGAGTGTCGACTATACGGCGGGGGCTGGGCTTCTGGCGAGTTTCGATCTCCGAAGGCCCCTGCTGGCTGGGCCACGGGGCCGTCACACAGAGAGTGCTCGGGATTGAAGCGCTGGCCTCAGGGAAGGGGTCGAGCCCTCCCAGTGCTCAAGTCTTAGCAACAATCGCAGCGCTGAGAGGTCAGTGGAGGAGAAGGGAGTGGAGGGATGTTTTTGCGCTTTTACCGCTCGCTCACTCCGCCAGCCCATACTTATAGTGTCATCGGCGACAATTGCAAGTGCGTGTTGCTCCTATTGTGCAGTTGTTGGGCCAGGGCAGTTTTCCCGACAGTGGTTTGTTAATCTTCGTTGGGCAACAGTTGGTTTTGAGAGTGTGGATATTGCAATATTATGGCAAGGCCCCCATTCAAGGATTGCCAGCGAAGTTTGACGACGCTTGTGCATCCGCCTCCCCATCGGACTCCCCTTCCAAGTCAGACTTTATTAATTTCAGGAGTCGGTCGCTTCAGCGCCTGCAGAGAAGTCTGAGCGGAAGTCCTCAGACATGCCGAACAGGAGGAGCGCCACGGAGCGCTACATAGTGAGGGCGATGTTCGGACTTGTGGATAAGCTACGCAACAGGAAAGGTATGAGATCCATCCAGGGGACTCAGAGGGCTGAGGTGAACGTCGCACCGTATTCACAAGATCATATAGCCAATACGCCACATTTGCACAGTCGACCCGCATGGTAAGGATTGGTAATTTTTCCCAGGGTACCCTTGCATCCTTGCCCCTTCGGTCCATCCTTCGCCGCTTACGTTGGCCGCGGCCTGCCCGAGAAGCTTCAATCTATAAGGCCAAGGTCCTTACGTCCTTATCGTGCATCCTGATGATACGGGTCGACTGTACCACATGTTGTTAATGGCCATTTAAAAGGGGAACAAACAAAATTATAAACATAACAATTCGGAGGTTCGCGCGTAGTTGTCGGATCGGCGCTGGACCCCCCTCTCTGGCGCGCGGAGCGCGCCAGGGGCGGCGCTGGAGGCGCCGCCTGGGGGCCCCATCGCCGATCCGAGGAATCCGCGCGGACCTCCGAGTTTTTATGTTTATGTGATGTTTCGTTCCCCCAATTTGCTTAAGATGGTGACATGTGCGCCCGTGTCGTTTCTCATTCTGCTCTCTCTCTCTCTCTGTCGTTCTCCCTCCACTGCGCGCAGGCCCGTAGGGCGTCGATGACGGGCAGACGAAGTTCACAATGTCTATCGATGTTGGCTACAAGAGAAGTGAGGACAGTGGAAACGGCTGCTGCAAGCGGTGTTGCATCAACCTCTTACATCGACGCAGCTCATCAGCATCGGGCGTGCACGCTTCCTTTTCGGACGTTCGTGGCAGTCGGCGTCACTGGAGCGTATCGGGGCCATCCCTCGCCACTTTGGCTTTTGTACGGTCAGCCTCCAAAGCAGTTTCAACATGAACGGGCAAGTTCGCATGTGCAGGCCTGCGCGGAGCGGAACATGCCCTGCCGGCCCGGCCTGCCGGCCTTCTTGTTCGGAATTTTTGGACAGCGACTGGGCACGCGTATCAGACCAAATTCGCCACGGGGGGAGCGTTCCGGACGGAAACGGTTTCTGGAGGTGTTTCGCCGTTTCGGGGTTCTCGGGGCCCTCCACAGGCCTTGGAATTGTCAGACAACCAGTCAGGATGAAGAATTGGTTTTGGGTGAAGGCCTCGTTGTCCAGGACCCGTTTCCCTCAGGACCCTGGTGTCTTCAATGCTAACAAACAAAGACCGCCATATAATGTCAATGCTAACAGAATCGTTGTTGCTCTGCTCTCCGATTGCTGCGATATCTGCCTCTCGTGGACGAGACGTATCGCGCGCCGGCGACCCAGATTTGTTGCGCAGCCTGGTCGTCTGGCGCACTGACGTTATGTGTCCCACTCGCGCGCTGAATTTCCAGGGCCACATCTGCTCAAAGCGTTGCAGCTCGGTCATCAGAGGCGGACAGGATGCCCATACCGCTGCTCGTCCTGGAGGCCCCTCGTCGCCACGGCTTGATTCATGCGAAAACTTTGCGGCCAGTGCCGCCGACCCTGAGGGAGGACGACGACGACAACGACGACAACGACGACAACGGCGGCTGCGGCGGCGACGACGATAACGCTGACGTGGGAAAGAGTCCTCAGGGATGCTCCTTGGGGTCTCTTCGGACGGCTCTCGGGGGCCTCTGGGGAGGAATTTTTGGGCCGTTTGGTTGCCTCTTGGGGGCCTCTTGGGAGCCTCTTGGGGGCCTCTTCGGGCTACCTGGGGACCTCCTGTGGGCCTCTTATAGGGCCTATTTGGAACCTCTTGGGGCCTCCTGGGAGCCTCTCGGGGCCGAGGGCTCGAGATGTCGGTTCGGGTCCCCCGTCAGGGCACACTCTTGGAGCCACCTTGGCGGCTTCATGGGCCGTCTTGAAGGCGTGTTGGGCTGTCTATGGGTTCTCTTGGGCTGTTTTGGGGGGGCCTCTTGTGCCGCCTTGGAGCGGCGGGAAGTGGAAAAGGCGAGAACTCCCAAATCTTTACAAAACAATTGTGCAAATCAATGAGTTTGGCCTCTTTGGGCCTTCTGGGAAGTGCTCTTGGGGGCTTCTACGTGCGTCCTGGAGGCCTCCTGGGCAGTCTGGTGGGCGTGAATGCATTTTGGACCGATCGTTTTGCGATTGGGGACCCTCTTAGACCGTCTCGGATGCCTCTTGACTCTTGGGGCATTTTTGACCTGTCTTGGTACTCTCTGAGGCCCCGGGACACCGGGGGGGGATGTGTATCTGACCCCGGACTCCCCCCCCCCCGACACCCCCTCGGCGGGGGAGGGATCAAAGTGAAGGGGTTTTCGACTCGATTACGGCATTGCTAGATTTTTCTCCCGCTGACAAGCTTGAGGAGGGTGCACGGAAAGGGGACGACGGAGACGACGGCTGGCGGAAACGACGACTCGAACAGATTAGCCCCTCGCACACGCCGACAGGGTCGGCTGATTTTCGAAGTTCTGGTCAGAATGAACCTTGAGAGAAGTCCAGGGAGTGGCGGTATTGGTACCTGCTCGCCCCCCCCCTCCCCCTTCCCATCACCACCAGGTTCAGCGCTGTCAAGAGGAGACCAACGTGATCAGACGCAGGGCATTCAGAGGGGGAGGTGCGACAAGGGATCACCCTTCGTGGGGCCCTACTGCCATACCCCAGTCTCGATGGGTTCAGGATCTCCCTTGCCCGTCGAGCGTCTGTCTCGGAGCGGGGGTTCAGGGAAGGAGGGCGGACCTGGTGGGGATGGGAGCGAAGGGGAACGGGGGTCGGAATGAAGAGGGGATGCAGGGAGGGACGAGGCCGAGGGAAGGAGGAAGAGGGAGGGAGGGGGGAGGGAAGGGTCGGGCGGGTCGTGATGGGTGGTGACCCAAGATGGGAGGTGGAGAAAGGGGCCCGAAAGGGGCCCTTCAGGGCCCTTGTTAGGCACCCACCGGCGACAAAAGTGGGCCCTGAAGGGTTACCCCCCATTAACTACCAAATGTTTTCCTTAGGGCTACCCCCTTTAGGGCTACCATCTTTAGGGCTACCCCCTTTAGGGCTGCCCCCTTTAGGGCTACTCCCTTAGGGCCCTAAAGGGCTACCCCCTTTAGGGCATGTTTCTTCACCCCACAATTTGGGTCACCCCCCAAGAATTACCACCCGGGAGGGCAGGAGGGCTCCGTGACAACAGCGAGCATCAGCCGACAGTGCGGGTCGGCGGGTCGGCGAGGCCCCCCCCCCCCCCCAGGCGGAGCGCTCTCGCGGCGCTCAAGAACAGCAGGGCTCGGGCTCCATGCACGGCCAGCCCGTCGGGCTGCTAGCAGGCAGGGGATCGTTTTCTTATGCATTGTTTTGCCGATCAGCGCGGGCCCTCGCGCCCCCCCTCCCTCCCCCCCTGGAGTGAATCTTGGGTGTTTTTTGGCGCCTGTTTCGAGCAGGTGGGGCCTCCCCATGGGACGCACTGTTCCAAACAGTCGCACTAAGCAGACGTCCAGAGCCAGACCCCCCTCTTCCCCCCCCGCACAACGCTCACCAGGTGCCAGTGGGACTTTACGGACATCCACCGAACAGAGGCCTGTCAATCGAGAGTCAAGGTTGACCTTGGCCAGCACAGAGAGGAGTGCCAGCAGGGCGTTTGCTCGCTGGCCCCCGTGATCGTGATATGGTGGACGCCCGCACACAAGTGCAAGTTGCTCGAGGCGGCGAGCAGCAGCCGAGATACGGCAGCAAACGAGGATATCATGCACACGCGCGCACAGAGCCCCACCTCTGTTTGCGACACGAACCGGGCCAGGGGCTTGTCAACAGACCGCGAGGCTTGGAGATCACGTGGTGTCGACCCCGCTCGCCCCGTCGACATCAGAGCCCGCGAAGGTCGAGAGAACCTCAGGAAGATCGACCCCGAGGCACGATCGACGAGGGTGCCGAACCTCCATGAGTTAACGTTGGTCTTTTCGTGACCCCGAGGCTCCTTGGGGCAAGATCCATTCAACCCCAACTTGCAGAACACAGGTTTAGTCTACATAGCTACCGCGGAGCAGGCAAAGGGGAATACAGCAATGCTGTGCCATTGCTGCCTGCAATATCGAGGTCAGGCTGGTTCGACCCCGTGCAGCTCCAATCGGGCCGCAGAGCATGCGAGGGGAATCTGGCCCTGCACGTGGCGCAACGCCAGACGCTGCGCTGCCATTGTCAGCTCCGCGAGGGGCCGGAGCAGCGCGGGGTCCCTTCCGCGGCGGCAGCCCCAGCACGCTCACGGTTGGGAGGGTCAATGTTGGGCCAGGGTGGAAAATTGTTGGCCGTGAGCTTACAGACGGGTTGCGAGAGTCTGACGCGGCGGGCAACGGTATCAATTTCACGTGCAAGCTATGAGATATTATTTCTTGGGCAAGGATGCGGTGCGAAGATGAAGAGGGTACCCGTCGCCGGCAGACGTTCTGGGGCGCTGAGGGCCCAGCTGAAATTGCCGAAGACCGTTGGAGACGGTGGTCACGCGCAGTCGAGGCCTGTCTGCGGGAAGGACTGAAGGTCATCCCGGAGGGGGGTGCTTTTTAAAGATGGCGTGCACGATGTGCACAGGCCCGCGGGTGCATCCGAGTTGCACGCTGTTTAGCTCCACCAGCAATCTCGCTGCCGACACGAAGCTGCTCCTCACCCTCGGTGGTTCCAAACTCTGTGACTTCTAGGTGGGCCATCACCCTTCAAAATTCGTCTTGCTCTGTGTGTATGTGTTTCGAATTGTTCATGTACATGAGGGTCCGGCATCTCCTCTCCTAAATGAGAGCCTCTCGCCGAGGGATAGCCCAGAAGGCATCGGATCGAACACGCACATGGAGGCACGCCATCGCCAACGGCAGGAACCGCTTATCTCATGGGGCTGTGCACGGCGCCCCACATCAAACGTTGGAGAGCTCACTTTATGGGGGAGGCCTGATTCAGTCAACCCTCGCAACTAGGCTGGGCAACCTTCCTAAGGCGACCCTTGCATCCTTGCCTCCGCGGCCCATCCTTCGCCGCCTCCGTTGGCCGCGCCCCGCTCGAAAAGCTTCGGCATGGGCGTCCAAGGCCCTTTGCATCCTTGCCGCGCATCCTTCTGATGCGGGCCGACGGTGCGTGCGACCCGGACCACGCCGTGCCATCCGCCCGCGTGCTCCTTGGGGGGGAGGAGCGGGCGGGCTCCGACGCCCGCGAGATCGCCAAGAGACGAGAGCGAAGTCGGGCACGGCCTTCTACGGGAGGACTGCCCAAGAGCAGCCGGAACATAGTCCGGTGACGTCGTGTCGTGCTCTCTCTTTTTATCGCGTTCGGCTGCTCGGTGCGGGCCGACGCGGTCCGGGCCGAGGTGCACCCCCCCTCCGGCCGAGCGCTTCGCTGGCCGAGCCTGCGTGCGCTGCCCTCTGGCTTCTGTCGGCTAGCGCCCTCGGCGCCACCCGGCCCCCCTCCGGGGCGCCGCTCCGGGAGCGCCGGGGTTCCTCGGGGGCGGTGGGCGCGGGCCTGGGGGCCCACGTGCTCTCTCCCCGCGCCTCGGCGTCGCGTGGTGCGCGGCGGGGTGCGCCCGCGGGGCCTGCCCGGAGGACGAGCAGCGGCACAGAGAAGCAGACGCTGTCGGCGTGCCGCGCGCGATGCTCGGGTCCGCGCGGGGCCCCCGTGGCGGCGCCCCCGGCGCCGCCCCTGGCGCGCTCCGCGCGCCAGGGAGGGGGGCCCAGCGCAGATCCAAGGAATCCGCGCGGAGTTCCAGAGGTTGATTTCCACGCATTTCTCTCTCATATCTGCCGCTTGTTCGTCCGCTCCGACCAGTGCACTGCGCAGGACAAGAAGAATGAGCTCGGGCACAGGATGCCAGAAGCAATTGCAGTCGATGAAGACCCTGACCCGTTAGCTGGGTCCAGGCCCTGGTCGCAGTCCCCGGATGCTTCGACCACGTCTCCTTCTGAGTCAAGCGGTCCTCGTCAGATCGAGTCTGGATAGTCGAAGTCACCTTGATCGAACAGGGCTTGATTAGAACTTGGCAGGGGTCATGGCCTCAGCTAAGGTCGGGGCAGGGAAAACCTCCTGCCTCTCCTCGTCGCATGAACTTCATTCCCACAACTGGTGGCGGTGCAAGAGTCCTCGCGTAGGCTACACACGGGGCATAACCGTTGCTGGTCGTCTACTATATCTCACAGGTGGGCGTTACGGCGTTACGGTCAGCGGTCCATGTATCATCGCACGGAAGAGTTCGAGTGACATGTTTTTCTTCCAAGGGCATAAGATTCGAGAATCGTAATTGTTCCTTATCGCGTCGAAGCAAGCCTCTTCCCCACCGAGCCCAAGTTTCTCAGCAATCTGAACTTCAAGCCGCTTACTGCCAGCACGACGCAGCATCTCCTTCAGGAGAGCAGGGTTGATGAAGCCGAGCAAGAGAGATAGAGACAAACATAAGATAACTAAGAGAGAGAGAGAGAGAGAGAGAAAGAGAGATAGAGAGAGAGGGAGAGAGAGAGCGAGAGATAGAGACAGACGGGCATCCCGATATTTCCGACCAGCATCGCGTAGATGGGCGTGGACCAGCCGCACCACTTGACCGACGGACAGAGCTGAGACGGACCCGCCGACTGCGAGGCTGCGCGCTACCTCGCAATACTGACCGCCAGCTTTCAGACAAAGCCTAATGATTGAAATTGTTTAGGTGTCGGTGGAATTGCGCTGCCCAGATCTCCTTCGCCCAACGCGCGATAGGAACAACCATCTCGTTCCAAGCTGGTTGAGCGGAAGGAAGGAGGGAGGGAGGGAGGGAGGGAGGAAAGGCAGGAGAGAACAGGAGGAATGGAGAAGTGGGTGGCCGATTCGGAGGGATCTTCTCTTGGGAGATGAGGGAGCAAGCGGGCGACGTACGGAGGGAGGAATTGGTGAACGGCGGCGCCAGGACAAGTCCCTGTTTAAGCCCGTCCTGCTCAACAATTGCGACCAGATTTTGCCCTACCTCTACCTGGGCGGTGTGGACGCAGTGGCAGACACCGGGTAGGGCAAGGGTGGGGTCGGATGGGGAGTGGGAGGGGCATGCTTAGGGTAGGTTCGCGTGGTGTCGACCAGCGGCGACTTCGCTGCCTGCATTCAACGTTGAACGCCGCTGGCGACCCAGAATCGGTCGATGTTGAACGAAATGACGATTCGGAAACGGCCGATCGTTGAAGGTTGAACGATCCCGCGGTGCCATAAACCCCGCGCGGAGTTCTTGGATCGGCCTTGGGACCCCCCTGGCGGCCCCAGCGCCCAGCGCGCCCCGCGCGCCAGGGAGGGCGGGTTCGCCGCCACTCCGAGGAGTCCGCGCGGCCCGTCGAAAGTTCACATGTCTCTGCAGTTCTGTCCTCTACAGTCAAAAACCCTAATAAGGACGCGCGACTTTGCTCAGGGTACCCTTGCGTCCTTGCTCTTCCTTGCTCTTGCGTCCTTGAGGTTTTCGTCGTCCGCCGCCCCAAAAATCCCAACTTCGGCTTCCAAGGGTCTTGCGTCCTTACCTTGCGTCCTTATTAGGGTTTTTGAATGTATTCTTGTGAGCCAGGCCTTCTTATCTGCCGCTCCCGATATGTGGGGGGGGAGCCCTTTTGCCAGGGTCGAGCCTGTTGAGGTACGGAGTGGTGAGGCCGTCTCCCAGGGCAGAGTCTGCACGCCGGCCTACTTGGTGGTTCGCCAGAGCCAAACGACCAGCAGGTCATCATTGTTCTGCGCAGTCGTTCATTGCTATGTGGGTGCGCACAACCTGTCATTCCCAAAGCGAGTCGTCAAGTCTAGAACGCGTCATTCCAGATCTCATGCGCAAGGCTGGCCGCATAAATGCAAATTAATTGGGGGTGCGAGGTGTGTTGTGGAGCAGGGAATTCGTGCAGTTGTTTGCTGCCTTCGGGAAGTGGAATATCCCGATAAGGATTTCAACAAGGACATCTTTTGCATAATTTGTTCCATGTTCCGTTTTCATTTGATTTCCAGTGTCAGGCGGTCGGGCCGTTTGTTTATCACGCCAGCTCATTCAGCGAGGGTGCGCTCATGATGGCAAAGGCTCGTGGCACGTGCCTGGACTCGAAGGTTACCAGACACGGCTCGGGTGACAGTTTCTGGTCGAAGCAAGCCACTCCAGAAAACATCGTAATTTTTCCTTACGCTTCGCCTGCCCGACTCATCACGGACGAAGAATTCGAGCCGACAGTTGGTTCGAGATGTGGAGCGTCAGAAGTTGAGAGCATACCGGTCGAAGCGTCATGCTGTAAGTTTCCATATCGAGAGTAATTTAGACTGCTCCGAGCGCTGCACATGCTACATTTTGAGGACTGAGCCGGCCTAACCCCTAGAGATCCAACGGTTGCATATCTTCTCTTCTCAGTCCGTTGCTTGTTGAAATGTTTGCAATCCGTTGTGTTTGCACATATCGTGGTGTCGCGGATCATGTTTACCTTTCATGTGTTCTACACATTGCCATACGGATTCACCCTGATCCCGTCTGCATGGGTTGTCCGATCGAAAGGGGGTAGGCGAATTGCCGTGCATTGAATCCGCATCTGTTCATCACATTCCAGCCATGGAGGGAAGTCGGGTCATGGTTCTAGTCTGCTTTTCTTAATGACCAGCGCTTGAGACATATAAAGGAGGCAAGCATGGATGTTGCAATGACCATGGTGACACGAGGCAGGTGTTGACTTTTTTGCATGGCGCCGAGGATCTCGAGTACTATCGGGTTGATGTGGAGGACATGTCCGTGCTCCGATACGCGTCATTCTTTGTGCCATGCATGGCTCTTCAGTTGTGACACCTCCATCGTTGGTTTGCCAGAGGTCTATTTGTATCCGCCCCGCCGTGCGGTACGGTCAATGATGCCCTTTGGTATGTATTGCGATTGCCAGGTCAGTATTATGTCTGCTTTGGTCGTCCATGTATTCAGTCCGAATGATGTCGTCTGATTAGGCTGCCTGCACAATGTCTCCTCGCAGCCTTCTATTTCGCAGGACATCAGCAGAGAGCCGATTGAGTTGTATTGGCCAGAGGCCAGCCTGCTTTCTTCAAATGAGCGAAGCGACGAACAAAACAACGGGGTCGTCTGCGCAGACATTGGCGCGCAAGCTGCCCGCGTAATTTCGCGCGTAAGCGCCCTCGTCTCCATTGTGGCGTGCCGCGCTGGCGGCCCGCGTGAGCCGCAGCGTAAGGTCGCTACGCCACCTCGCGTAAAACCCGTTTTTGGTCGTCGCCCAGATGGCATGGCGAGGGCAGGGAGTGATCGCAGCACTCGACACCTAGTTCTAAGCCTGTGGGATGGCTTTTTCCCAATCATCCTGTGGTGTTGGGCCCTCGTTTTGATGAGACGGCGCCCCGCGTTCTCCTCCTCCTCCTCTCCTCTCCTCCCCCTCCTCCCTCCTCCCTAGCGCCGAGTGCAGCATTTCGTGGCCTCATCGGGAGCTCCACCGAAGGTCCCAGCGGCAGAGTTCGCATGGCGGCCGCGCCCCATGTCGACACACAACTCACAAGTTTCGTGTCCCCATTGGGAGCTTCACCGACGGCCCCAGTGTCAGGGTTCGCATGGCGGCCGCGCCCCATGTCGACACACACCCCTCACACGTTCCGTGGCCCCATTGGGAGCTCCACCGAAGGCCCAAGTGTCAGGGTTCGCATGGCGGCCCCGCCCAATGTCCGCACATCCCTCACGCGTTCTGTGGCCCCATTGGGAGCTCCACCGAAGGCCCCAGTGGCAGGGTTCGCATGGCGGCCCCGCCCCATTTCGGCACACCCCTCACACGTTCCGTGGCCCCATTGGGAGCTCTACCGAAGGTCCCAGTGGCAAGTTTCGCATGGCGGCCCCGCCCCATGTCGGCACACCCCTCACACGTTCCGTGGCCCCATTGGGAGCTCCACCGAAGGCCCCAGTGGCAGGGTTCGCATGGCGGCCGCGCCCCATGTCGACACACACCCCTCACACGTTCCGTGGCCCCATTGGGAGCTCCACCGAAGGCCCAAGTGTCAGGGTTCGCATGGCGGCCCCGCCCAATGTCCGCACACCCCTCACGCGTTCTGTGGCCCCATTTGGAGCTCCACCGAAGGCCCCAGTGGCAGGGTTCGCATGGCGGCCCCGCCCCATGTCGGCACACCCCTCACACGTTCCGTGGCCCCATTGGGAGCTCCACTGAAAGCCGTATTCAGGATGCGGTACCCCCGAATAGCAGATGGTTGGGGCCGTCGCCAGGATCATTTCTTTTTGTCGGCGGGGCCGCGCCTCCCTCCTGCCACGAGCACCGTGGGGCACAGTGGCTCCGTTGTGTCCTCGCTCCTTCGCTCAGCTCCACGAGTTCCCATGTGTTCTGTGTGTCAGCGAGGATCCAACCTGCTTGAGCTTCTGATCGCCAGGACAAAATCCGGGCACCGAGGAAGTACCGAAACTTGTGGGTTTTCACGGGTCGGGTCCTGGGGGGCGATTCTCGTTCGACCCTATTTCGGTACTTTCCCGGGTGCTCGAAATGATTTCTGGGTTTGGGTCTTGAAGTACGGTGGGAGCAAGGTAATCCCAGGGCTTGCTTTAAGGCCCCCACGTTGAGTCCCCTTCAATGTGCTCCAATATGCAAACGTCTCTGCTTCTGATCGTTCACGTCGGGTCCCTCTTGGCTCTACTTGTTTGCATATGCCACCCGATGCGTTCCCTGCGTTTCTGCTGCATGTCTCCATGCAAGTGCGGCCATTTGCTTCCGCTTGCTATCATTTGGTTGCACTGTCTTCCACTCTCTGCTTTTGTTTGGTGCCCGCACACCGGTCGAATGAAAGCATCGTTCCCCGTGCCCGCTCGGCGCCCACGACCTTCCAGACACAGCCATGTTGTACAATATCATGCCACCGCTCCCTCGGAACAGCCAGAGGAGCGGAGAGGGAGTTGGAGTCCCCCGACGACTTCTGTGCACCGTATAGCGATGGCGTCTCTCCAGGCGTCGGCGACTCGTGGCCCAGGGATGGTACGATTTCTGGCTTCTCGGCCCCTCCTGAACTGCCATGCGCCGTATCGTTTTGCGGCGGGGCCGGAAGGCAGTCCCAGCATGACTGGCTGCAGACATGGACCTTGACGACCCCGTTCTGGCCGGGGTCGCAGGCACTGCGTGCACGCAGAGGGTCGCCGGGGCAGCCTAAACCCTGAACCCTGAACCCTAAACCCTCGCCGTCGATCGCTTCCACGGTGCAGTGCAACGGGCGCCGGTCTCGTGTGACAACAGGGGGGGGGGAGGTGGGCCGGTGTACGGCGGGCGCCGGCAAGAGTCCCAGAGCGTGCGGCGGGGCGCCGCCGGCCCGGTCGCGGCGCGTGGTCCCCGACCCTGGGGAGAGATGGCACCGAGGGAGCCCCTGCGGGGGGCTGGTCAAGGGAGGGAGGGAGGGAGAGAGGGAGGGACGGCGAACGCGACGAGAGCGTCGACGGTGACGACGAAGAAGGACGACGACGACGGAAAAGACGATGGCGACGACGGCAACGAATAAGACGACGACGAACAGAAACGGCGACGACGAGAAATACGACGACGAAGAAAGACGACGAAACAAACGACGACGACGAAACAAACGACGACGAAGGAAGACGACGACGAGGACGAAATAGACGACGAGGAAGACGACGAAATAGACGACGAAAAAGACGACGTCGCCGACGACGACGAAAAAGACGACGACGGGAAAACGACGACGACGAAACCTCCGCGTGTGCCAAACGGCCCAGCTTTGCCCTGTTCGATTCCTTCGTGATCTTTTTTGATATGCATTGTTTTGCCGATCGGCGCGGCCCCTCGCACCCTCCCTCCCCCCCCCGGAATGGGTCTTGGCTGTTTTTGGCGCCTGTGTCGAGCAGGTGGAGCAGGAACATATTGCAAAATACGGGAAGTGGTAGGGTAAGATAAGGACCAAGAACATCTAGGAAAATATGGCGTTTCCTAGGATTTGTGTGTATTTGTTTGTGAGTCCCTGGGCCCCTCTGTAGAGGCTCCCTCAGAAGGCTTCTGATATAACGAGACTCGAACTATTCCCTATCCCTGATATCGACAAGCCAAATGCGATGACAATCTCAGGGATGTGCCCTTAGAAGCTGAGGGATCTTTTCGACCCGCACCGCGGTAAGGTGATGCCAGACAGAGGGATAGGGATGTGTTTCAAGTTGGTAACAATAAGCCGGGCGGGTTTCTGAGGAGCCTCTTTTTGCCGTCTCAGAAGCCCCGCCACCGTGCAGGCGCCGCCAAGGATCGCACCTGAGATCCTGGAGTCGAAATTGTGTGGCACTGGGCGGTCTGACCTTGCTTCGGGGGCTAATGTACTTAAGGATCGATATCTGGTTCGAGAATGGTTCCGCAGGAAGGTTGGGCATGTGTGCTTTTTTATAGTCGTGTTCTTCATTGTGTTGCTTTTTGTTCTGGATGTCGGGTCTCTGGGTTCAGCGCCTCGAAAAATCGAGGCGCCTGGTTTGTCGCCCCGTTTGGCCCCTGGGGGTCGGTTATCTGGCCTTTTCGGGCCTCGGGACAGTCAAACAACGACTCGGCATAGCAACCCGGCCCCGGGGAAGGGCCCGACCCAGACGCTCGATGTCCTGATTTCTCAGCCCACCAGGAGTGTCCCGACTCTTCTCCCAGGGCCAGGTTTTCATCCCGAGTCGTGTGTCAACGGTCTTGGGGCCCGGTGAGGGCTTTTTGCAGGCGGAGAGCCGCGACAAGCGCCCTCTCGAGACGCTGTTCACGAGACGAGCGCGTCTGGGGAGGGATTTCGGACCCCACGCATCAAAGAGAGATCGCAGCGTCGGATGCTTTGGGGGCCACCGCGTCGGGGGGCGGGAGGCCACCCAGTTCATCCACTCCTGGGTCTCCCGCGAGCAGCCCGTGCTGGTTCACTGTCGCGCGGGCGTGTCCAGAAGCTCTTCGGTGGTGATGTCATACCTCATGACATACCAGGAGCCCGGGTCGCCCCGGCCGCAGCCCCCCCGCCTCTTCGCACGGTGCGGCCAGATCACCGAGTGCGTTCAAATACTCGCAAAGTGCATACTCGCCACAGTCGCGAACACACACACACACACATACACACACATACACACACATACACAAACAAACACACAAACACACAAACACACACACACGCACACACGCACACACACACACACACACGATTGCTTCGAATCGAAGCAATCATGCAGCACCATCATATCGAAGCAGCTTCGATACCATGGATCGTAAATCCCCCGCGGCGGCGCCAGGCCACTTGCGAGTGGTTACTTTGCGAGTAGTGGAAACGCGCTTGTCGACCAGAGGTCGCCCCGGCCCGAGGTGAGCCCAGGTGGCCCCAGGTGGCCCAGGTGGCCCCAGCCCAGCGCTTCCGGGGAGGCCCGGGTGGCCCGCAGAACACCCCCTCTGCGAGGCCCCGAGGGCCCCAGGGGCTGCAAGACGTGGCGAACAGCCGAGGATACCCAGGGCCTGGACGCCAGGACCACCTCCGACCTTCCTGGCACCGCTCGAACGCTTCCCCCCCATGCTGCCTCTCCTCCTTTTAGCCCTTGTGTTAATCCTCCCGCGTCTCGCCCTCCTCCTCCTCCTCCTCCTCCTCCTCCTCCTTCCCTCGGAGAGTCCCTCCATCTCCCCCTTCCCTCTCCCCCTCCCTGTCGTCATTCTTCTCACGCTCCTCCGCCTCCTTTCCCACCCCCTCCTGTATTGACTACCATCATCCTCCTGCTCATCAACCGCCTCGTGTCGTTCCCCTTCTGCTCCTTCCCGTTCTCCACTGCCCTTTCCCGATGAGACGGGAGGGGAGATCGTGCGGGACGAGGGCTAATCTTGTGAGCTGTGCCCGCTTCTCAGCTTGCTCACTGTGGACCGTGCGTCCCGGACCTCCCTCGCTCTAACTTGCGCCCGCAGCGGCTTGCGGCCAGGCCCATCCGCCAGTGTGGTTGTGCAGGTCCGGCACGCTGTCGGTTGCGTGCCTCGGGGGCCCTTTCCTGGCAGGGGCGTGGCCGTGAGGGGCCCAGCATCGGCGATTGGCCTTCCGTCGGAGCGCACCATTGTATACAGCGGCACCAATCTTGGCCAGGCGGCTCCTGGGCCCAGGATCGGTTTATATCAGGAGCGCAAGAAGGACGTGCAAGTCCATCAATCCACGCTGGTTTGGAGAGCACGCTTTGCGCGAACGTTCGTATCACGCGGCCGGTCCCGCGGACTGGGGGGCCGTCTTCGTGGACGTGTTTGGGCGCGCACGTCCTCCGTGGGCTCCCCAGTAGATGCTCTCCTGCCCAAGCCAGGAGGGGTTTTGCAACGATGCAGGCGCTGCGCTGGGCCCAGCGCCGATCCAGGAAATCCGCGCGGAGCTTCAACAGTTTCTGTTTATGCCGCCTGTGGGTCCCCAAGGGAAGGCACATTGCAGCGGGCAGGATGCCGTGCGGGCCAGGATCACCGCGTTCGGCGCTGGCGGCACGGACGGCCGACTTCCTGCCACCCGCGGCGAGAGCACCACCCTCCGATGTTGGAACGTCCAGTTGAAGGTGGGGGGGTCTGCATCAGTTCGTCTGGGCGCGGCCAAGGGGGGGGGGGCTATTTCTTGATGCAGGAGTTCTCAGACGGGGGGGTCAAACCGGCTCGTACGGGTGGGTTGTGACCCCCCGCCTTTCCGGCCCATTCGTTGCCGCCACCAGGCGCGAAAGCAGGCTGCCGTGGGCGGGCCAGATGGAGGCTCGTCGGCCCGGCCCTGCGGCACGCAGAGGCGGCCGACGGGCCACGGGCCAGCGCCACCGCGGCAGCAGCTCCAAGTGGCGCCGCCGCGGCCCTTGGCTCGGACCAGCGCGGACCTGGGAGGAGCAGGCGGGAGCCCGGGCCACGGCGAGGGCAGCAGGCCTGCTGCGCACCCACCCCCCGCAGGGCCCGCGGCACCGCAGGCGCCGTCTCCGGGAGAGCGGGCCCCCCGCCAAAAGGCGGCGCTCCGTGGGCGGGGAGGCTGCGCTCCGCCGGGCGCCGCAGCACCGCGCGGGCCCCTGGCAGGGCGGCGCTCTGCCCGGCCCGCGGGCCCCCGCGGCGAGGCCGAGGCGGGGCTGGACCTCCGCGGGCGGGCGGGCGGCAGGGCGGCGCCGAGGCTGCCTCGGTGGAGGGTTCTGCGGGGCTCTCTCCTGGGACCTCCCTCGAGAGGAGGGAAATGGTATCCATGCCTCTACCCTTGGCCCATTCTCCTCGTTTTGGGCCTCCTGGGAGGCCCTCTTGGCTACCGCTGGATTCGCCTCGGAGTGCTGGTCCGAGCGCGCCCCGGGAGAGGTCCAGGGAGGAGCGGTACCGGTACCGTTTGGTCTCCCCAACTCCCGGGGCGCAGGCTGGCCCCTCGGATGCGGCAGAGGGCCGGCACGGCGTCGGGCAGCCGCGCCGAGGAGGAGGCAGCGGCGACAGCGGTGCCCTGTGGAGACCCATGCCCCATGCCAAGAAGCACCCTGCTTGCCTCCCAGGGTGTCCTGAGTCTCGTGGGTTTCGATCACTCGGCGATGACAAGCGTGTCGTGCCCACGCCAAAGAGCAGTGGACGTCCTGGGGTCTCCGGGTTGGGTTTCTTGTGGAAGGTGTCTTGTGGACTGGCCCCCACCGTATATCGAAGCCCCCCACCGGGGCCCCCAGGAGGGCACCGCCTTGCTGCGGAGGAGCAGGCGGGGTGCCCCTGGCTTCGAGGGCCGGCCGCCACGCCGCGCACACTCGGCGCACAGCACCGGTGCGGGGGCCCCCGAGGCGCCGGGCGCGAGCGGCAGGTCTGCAGCGTCTCGCCGGCTGGTCCCCAGCCCTCGGCCACGAACAGAGGGGGGCAGGGCTGGCGCCTTGTAAGAACCGATGATCCTCAGGACGTGCGTTGGCCCACTGCGTGTGTTGCCCCTTCAGCCAGGCGGGCCCCGTGTGCGGCGCTGTTCGGCAGCCGTCTGGCGCACGGCAGGCCGGCGACGCGCGGCGGCCGCCGGCGGCGGGCCGCCGCTGCAGGCGCCGCCAGTAGCGCCGCAGGCCCCGCAGCCTCTGCGGCACCCACCGCGGCTGCCCGGCCTGTCCCCCATCAGGGGGGCTTTCAACGAAGAATAAAAGAATATACCCCAAACATAGCCCAAAAAGATTCCAAACTAGATTCTGGGGACTATTTCCCAACCATCCTGTGGTGTTGGGTCCTCGTTTTGAAGAGACGGCGCCCCGCGTTCCTCACCTCCTCCTCCTCCCACCTTCCCTCCCTCCTCCCATCATCATCATCATCATCATCATCATCATCATCATCATCATCATCATCATCATCATCATCATCATCATCATCATCATCATCATCATCATCATCATCATCATCATCATCATCATCATCATCATCATCATCATCATCATCATCATCATCCTCATCATCATCATCATCTTCATCTTCATCTTCATCTTCATCTTCATCATCTTCATCTTCATCTTCATCTTCATCTTCATCATCATCATCATCATCATCATCATCATCATCATCATCATCATCATCATCACCACCACCATTTCGGCACACCCCTCACACGTTTCGTGGCCCCATAGGGAGCTCCACCGAAGGCCCAGGGTCCGCATGCCTCCCCACCACCCATTTCGGCACACCCCTCACACGTTTCGTGGCCCCATAGGGAGCTCCACCGAAGGCCCCAGTGGCAGGGTCCGCATGCCTCCCCACCACCCATTTCGGCACACCCCTCACACGTTTCGTGGCCCCATAGGGAGCTCCACCGAAGGCCCCAGTGGCAGGGTCCGCATGCCTCCCCACCACCCATTTCGGCACACCCCTCACACGTTTCGTGGCCCCATAGGGAGCTCCACCGAAGGCCCCAGTGGCAGGGTCCGCATGCCTCCCCACCACCCATTTCGGCACACCCCTCACACGTTTCGTGGCCCCATAGGGAGCTCCACCGAAGGCCCCAGTGGCAGGGTCGCATGCCTCCCCACCACCCATTTCGGCACACCCCTCACACGTTTCGTGGCCCCATAGGGAGCTCCACCGAAGGCCCCAGTGGCCTGGTTCGTATGCCTCCCCAATTCCACTGAAGGCCCCAGTGACTGGGTTCGCATGCGCCCCCACACCCATTTCGGCACACCCCTCACACGTTTCGTGGCCCTATAGGGAGCTCCACCGAAGGCCCCAGTGGCTTCGTTCGCATGCCGCCCCCACACCCATTTCGGCACACCCCTCACACGTTTCGTGGCCCCACAGGGAGCTCCACCGAAGGCCCCAGTGGCTGCGTTCGCATGCCGCCCCCACACCAACTTCGGTGCACTCCTCACACGTTTCGTGGCCCCATAGGGAGCTCCACCGAAGGCCCCAGTAGCAACGTTCGCATGCCGCCCCCACACCCATTTCGGCACACCCCTCAAACGGTTCGTGGCCCCATAGGGAGATCCACCGAAGACGGTACTCACACCAGCATTACTCACAACTGCATATGGTTGGGTCCTTCGCCAGGCTAATTTTTTAGTATTTGTTTGACCTTTTTGGGGCATGTTTTGGGTATGTTTTATTTTTCGTCGAAAATCCCCCTGTATGGGGGACAGGCCCGGCTTCAGTCCAGGCCAGACATCGCCCCCTCGCGGTGCCGTCGAGTGCTCGGCTGCTGCCGCTCCCTCGGCGCCCCGTCGTGGGGTCCAGGCGTGGGGCGCCCGCCGCGCGGAGCCGGGCCGGCCTCCGCCCCCCCCCCGCGCTGTCGGCGTCCTGCCCGTCGCACGGCGGGGCTCAGCTCTCACCCCTTCGGAGGAGGAGGAGGAGGAGGAGGAGGAGGAGGAGGAAGAGGAGGAGGAGGAGGAGGAGGGGGGAGGAGGGGGGAGGAGGAGGAGGAGGAGAGGAGGGAGGAGGAGGAGGAGGAGGAGGAGGAGGAGGAGGAGGAGGAGGAGGAGAGGAGGGAGGTGGAGGAGGAGGAGGAGAGGAGGAGGAGGAGGGGGAGGAGGGAGGAGGAGGAGGAGGAGGAGGAGGGAGGAGGAGGAGGAGGAGGAGGAGGAGGATGGGGGGGAGGAGGAGGAGGGAGGAGGAGGAGGAGGAGGAGGAGGAGGAGGAGGAGGAGGAGGAGGCCCCCTCTTGCTCCCACTTCCGCGTTCTCTCCCCCCATCCTTCTCCTCCTCGGCATTTCCTCCGTCCTTCGAGCTCCCTCCTTCGTGCTCCCTCCTTCGTGCTCCCATCCTTCCTTCCAGACAGCACATCCGCACACTCCGCTAACATTCATTATGCCATATGCAAGAGAAGCCTTGGGTGTTGAATGAAGGGGAAAGGTGAAGTTTGATGGCATGACCACATTTTTTCACTTTGTATTGGTCGCACAACGCTAAACTTGTGTAACCTGCCTACTCCTTCCAATGATCCCGCCAGGGCTATTCCCTGCACGACGCCTTTTTCCTGGTACGTAGTCGACGGAGTTGTGTGAGCCCTAATATTGGATTTATGGAAAAGTTATGCGATTACGAAGAGGCCCGTGGAGGGAGATGTATGCAGTCTTTCAATTTGCATGATGGGGGAATGGGCAGCATGCTTTTACGGATGAGAGGGATGTGGCGGATCCATGTGGGGATGCGGGTTGTTATTTCGTTGGGATGTTGGAGTTCTTGTGTTTGATCGCATTGTTGTTCCACGCCACGTACCATGCACCAGCCGCATCCACGATCTCATAAGAGATTGCAGTGCTGTTTTTCTCATCGGAACCGGTCTTGCCTCCTGCATGAGTCGAGCTTTCAATTTGTTGGTGCCGTCGCCATGCACTCGCACCCTGCTTCTCTAGCCACCCTTAGGAGGCCGTGTGGGATTCAGTCGCAACGGAAAACATGCAATTTCCAAAGGAGATGCGTTTACAGACTTCAAGACCAGATGCGTCTTGGGAGTTGCCTGCTCGCAAGCACGGAAGCTTGCGTACATCGCGAATTGGAAGAGCTAATTTCAAGACGCGGATGCTTTCAGGGTCGGATACGTTACAGTTGTCCAGGACATCGGAAATGGACCAGATTTCGTGAAGCACTATTCGGGTGGCCATGTGTTTCGCAGTTAACGGGCCCATATCAGACGTCGGGGTGCATCCACGCCTTGCTTAACACTTACAGGCAAAGCACTGCTTGCTGTACTGCCTGAATCGAAAGCGTGTGCTTCACACATTCATTGAAATTGTACGGCGTAATCCCTCCGACCTGATCCATAGCGACCGCCGCCATTTGCCATGATACACTTGCGAGTGTTCACGCTCTTTAGGTAGAGATCTCGCGGCTGTCACTGGACGTGTGCACAACTGGCATACCGATGATTCTCAGCGTGCGTAAACACAGCATCGGCATGCGGGCGCGCTTGGACACCGTCGCGGGTCTGCTCATCAAGGTTGCGCAATGATGGCAGTTTAGGCTCATCTTTCCTCCTCCCTCCTCCTTCCTCCATCCCCCTCCTCCCCCCTCCTTGCATCCAGAGCCCCCTGGCGGCAACGGTTGCTCCAGACAGGGGTCAGAAGTCTTGGTCTTCGGGGATTTCGTTGCGAAAGGAGGCGTGGTCCAAGCTCTGCAACGGCCTCCATCCCAAGAGACTTGGAAGTGACTGTTGACTGGATCCGTGGCTGTAGATGTCAAAATCGCCAACCTGGGGCCCGCTTCCATCCGATCGGAATGATTCGATGCCGATGTCGGCCAGTTCGATCCGACTCGATTTCGATTTCCCGGCGATCCGATGCGGCCCGATGCTTCCAATTCGGTTTTGCGCATCTTGGCGCAGCCGATCCGATTCTATGTCGACTCCGTGCCGATGCCGCCCGATCCGACGCACGTTCTGATTCGACCCGATGTGTCGTTTCGATGCTGACCAATCCTGTCTACTTCCCCCCCCTCAACCTCCTCCTCGTGGCCGGGGAAACCAAAAGGTACCCGATGCCGCTGCGCCCCACACCTCTCCCGGGGTGCGTTCTGACCAGAATCTCGAGGCGAACCCAGCGGTGGCGACCAGAGCCTCCCAGGAGGCCCCAAGAGAGAGGAGAACGCGGGGAGGGCAGCGCACTATCGGCACCTCTTGTCCTCTGAGCGGCGGCTTGGTCCCGAGGGCCGCCCTGTCTCAGGACGAGGCGGCCGCGCGGGCGCCAGGGTCCGCCGCGCGGCCGCGAGGGTCGCGACCGCCGGGCTTGCCGGTGTCGAGGAGCAGAGCTCCGAGGGGGGCCGCCCGAGGCACGGGCCGTCGGCCCTCAGTGGAGCCTTCTCGTCAACACGGCCGGGCTGCGTTGCATCGTCGGGCGACGTCGCCGGTCCCCCAAAGAGGGCGTCTTCTCTTGTGCCCGACGCGGGCTCGTTGCGGACTGGACGCGGATGTGGCGCGGATTCGACGCGGACTCGACACGGATTCGACGAGTCCGACATGGATTCGACACGGATTCGATGCGGACAGGGCCGCGACGGGACAGCCGCAGTCCCTCGAGGATGCAACATAAGTCTGGATTCCTGGATGGGTTTGGGGACCGATCTTGAGCTCCCAGTCCCTCAAACCGCCCTGCTCCGAAAGACAGTGAGTCGCTCGGAGGTCCATGCGGATTCCTGGGACCGGCGCTGGATCCCCCTCCTTTGCTGCGCGGAGCGCGCCAGGTGCGGCGCCGGAGGCGCCGCCATGGGGTTCCAGCTCAGAGCCGAGAAGTCCGCGCGGACCTCCGCAGGTTGTTTTCTGTGTCATGGTTTGCTCTACGACGCTGGACCAGGCTTTCTGCGAGATCGGGCGCGCTCTCGTTCAGGAGGGGAAAAAACACACAGACACAATTAATCGTCGACCCCCAGAAAATATTGGAAAATATGGGAAGTGGGGGGGAAGACGAAAATCCAAAAAATATTGTAAAATATGGGGGATTATTTTATTTGTGTGTATTTATTTGTGTGTCCTTGGGCCCCTTCATTTCTGCGAGATCGGGCGCGCTCTCGTGTCTCGCTTCGGCATCGGGCAGCCTCGCGAGCAGAGCCGCCGCGAGGGGGGCCCCGCCGGCGTTGGCCGGCCGGCTTGCGGCAGCGCCCGCCACCAGCCGCGCAGGCTCAGCAGGATACCGAGACCACTGTTGACATCAATAAGCGACCTGCGCGGCCGCGCCGTTCTGGGGGGATGCGTGGGGGATCGGGGGCACGAAGTTTCGAGCCTCGAGGTTGTCGGGCGTTCTCGAATGTGCTCAGCGGCTCTCCAGTCTCGGAGTGCTGTCCAGCAGCTGCGCCTCGCCGAGAGCGTTCCAGGGGTGCCAGATTCGCCCCAAACGGCCGCCGGAACGCCGAGAGCTGCGGGGCAGCATCCGCATTCCCGCCGCCGCCAACTTTCGATGGGAAGGAGGGTGGGTCAAGGTCCCGTTTGGGGGGGCAGGCTCAGGGGGGGGATGCATCGATCTCCAATCGCCCACCTGCTCACCGATCACGGGCAGCGGCCCGATAACCCACCCCGCTCATGAACGTGTGGATTCGCGAGCGGGGGCCTCTCGCCAATCTATCGGCGATGTACCGCCCATTCTTGTTCGACGTTTCCCCCCCTAACGTGCCCCCCCCCTCTTTCACGTTCGCCATCAGTGGGGGGGGGGGGGTCGGGGGAGAACGTGAGTAGTTTCAATGGCGCTGCCCTGCCCTTGTTTCCTTTTGTGGCCTCGTTGGGAGCCTTCGTCGCTACGGCTGGACTCGCATCGGCATCCTGGTCAGGACGCCCCCCGACACAGGTTTCGGGAGTAGCGGTAGCGGTATCTTATTTCCGCGAAAGGAGGAAACCAAACAGGAGCAGTTGGAAGGAGGCGGAGCAGGATGGAGAGGGACGGGGGAGAAGAGGAATGCGGAGGAGGAGGAGGATGAGATGACATGTCAATCGGGGCCCCCATGCTGGTGTGCAACTGCCGCTGTTTGGCTCAATCTTCCGGCGGGCTCTGCGCATGTCACACTGACCGCCTGCTGTAAAACAGTGATGTTTCTTGATCGATATAGTTATGTTAGCATTGCATGCTAGCAGAGCGATGTGATGGCAACTGAAAAAATACAGCAATATCTACATCACGCCAATCATGGTTTGAACACCGCCTCGTCAGTTTCCGTCTAAACTGCCCGACCGCGTTCTATCAAGGTGATTACGAGTTCGTCAAAGCCGGCCTGGAGACTAACCGTGACGTGATGGCGAACGGTTTTGAAGAATACGGGTGCGCGGGCAACCACGTGATGCCCAGCGAACGCGCGATGCCAAGTGATGAACATGTTCGAGTAATCGAACGCAGCACTGTTCAGCACCAGCGCTGTTGTAAGAAATAACCAAGCGAAAACCACGCAAGTGAGATGCGAGTGGCCGAAGTGGAAGAGATAGTCGAAGAACAAATGTATACCACTTTGACAGCCTTTCAATTTTTTGGAATGTGTTGGTTTAGCGCAAGCAGAACCCACAAAAGGCTTGTGACCGAACCGAAGCGAATTCAGTCGATAAGAAGCTGCAGCGGGGATCGGACGAGTTTCTGTGAACGGAATGGCAGACCACTGCACGCACTGGCACAAGCCAGCCATGGGAACCGCTGGGGCCCCACATCATAGAAGTCAAGATGCGACCCAATGGGCGGAATTGTGCCGGACCACCAGGAGGAAAACGGTACACTAACAATGCTCAACGGGACGATATCAGCAGCCAGGTACACCTCAGCATCAGCAGAAGATGGTAGCGAATAAGACAACCGCGGAGCCGAATACGTTTGTGGACGGTGGTGAATCCGAAAGTTGGACGGGGACTCGTGGTGCACCTTAACAGGAAAACTCGGGTGTTTAGGCGCTGGGCACGCTGCGTGACTGCAAATAAGGTGAAGGGATCGCCTCCACGCGCACGTGTGAGTGATACTCTGCAGAAAAAAGGTGAATGTTGTCGACCAGCGTGTGCTCAGCCATGATCCCCACCAGGCCTACGATGACCAGTGGCACATCAGCCCAGCTTGAGCAGTGGAGTGCGTTGGCAGAGAAGCTCGAGAAATACGGCACATGATCTGAACTGCCTTGCCGTTCAAGGTCTCGGCCCTGAAGGTCATAGGGACACGCGCAAGGGAGTGGTTCGACGACTGGCATCAATAGTGTTTGAAGACGCCGGGCCACTTCTAATGACCGAAGATCATCAGCAAGTATACCTCAGATGCTAGGCCCAGGCCTTCCCGTGGGACAAACAACGACTTGTATGTGGACATGAGAAGCAGCGATGCGATTGACGTCGGATGAGTGGGCAAGGCAGAATGGGGGCTTCGAACGAGCAGCCGACCAGGGAAGTTACCGCGGATAGTCGAGGGCAGCTGTTGGCCCGTGGACGAAGATGGCAATTCAGGTTGAAATGGCCGAGGAAACGTGGAGACAGTCAATCAAGGCAAAGGGTAGATGAAAGGCCGCGTGCTACAAGTTTGGCAGAATGGGCCACGTGGCCAGGGGCGGCAGAGTTCGCCCCGAAGGCGGCGCGAGCATTGGCGAGGGGAACGAAGCCCAGGCTGGCAAAGGGGCCGCGGCAACGGTAACCACGGCAGCTTCAAGGGCTTGAGCAAGCAGTCGGGGCACCTTGTGGGTTTGACCAGGCCACGTGGTTTGCGCGCCCATGGACGGGCGCGAACGCAACGAGGGCTTCCGCAAGGGCCACATTGCAGCCGCTTGCACAGAGGGGCCCAAATACGTTGAACAGGCCGGCGACATTCAAGGAACATCTAATCATGGACGTCCCCAGCTGGAGATGGACGCAGGCTGTTGCGCCCTTGCATGGGCACGTGGCCGCGCCCGCCTGAAGCCTGGCGGGGAACGCCAGCGTGGGTGGAGAAGAGGTTGTCGCGCGCAATGAGAACGCGATGCACGTGCCAAGAGACGATGTGCCAGAGAAACGGCGATGGCGAGGCCTCTGGCGCGAAGATTGCGATTGCCCCGGCAGCAAGTCACGGAGCAGGGGTAGAACGCCAAACCTATCTGCGCGCTCCGGAATCTAACGTAATGTGGTTGGCATTGTGTATTCGGGAGCGTATAACATTGCGCTTCCCCCCTTGGAACAGACGGGGCCTTGCCGGAACGGCGGCCGTTTCGTCGGGGCCAACGGAACCGCTATACAGAACGATAGCCAGCGAGCAATTGCAGGACCAAGCGAAGCAGGCAAGAAGATCCAGGTAATTATGCCCACGCAAGTCGCCGCGCCCAGAAAGCATCGGGGCCCCGCGCGAGAAATAATGGAAGCGCGTCGGGTCATAGGCCTGGATCGCGACGCCCACGACGGATCGCGCATTACTTTGGGCATCGGGCCTCAGGCAGGGGGGCAGCGGAGCGCGAACGCAACGGAACCCTTCAGTTCGCCGCGTGGGCCCCTCGAGCCCGGGCGAATCAGTGGAAAACGCGAGCCGGGCATTGGGCGGGGGCGAGGGGCAGCGCGAGGAAGGGGGGAACGAGTGACGAGTCAAGGGGGCGATCTGCGACCCTCGCGACAGCGGAGCAGACGTTGAACACCGCGGCGCCAGCCATTCGTCAAGCCTGCGCCCTCGCCGTCCTCGGGGGCGGGGGGGGCGCAAGAGAAGGGGGCGCAAAATGAGACTGAGGTAACTTCGACAAAGTGCCAGTCATCTCGGATATATTTTCACTGAGCTAATATCTGTCGGCGTAAATACCATTGACCAGGATTGGCGTAACCGAGCCGGGAAACGACGAAGTTGATGCGGGTCAGAGTGTTGATCCGCCAGGGGGTCGCATTTTCTTATAGTTCTGAAACGCATGGTATCTTTCGCCGGGCGCCAGCGAGTAATTCCGAGAAGCGACGCGGTGTCATCCATGGCCGCCCTTGAGGAACCTGCCAGGTCTTCGGCGCCGTTAGCAGTGGACATCGAAATCCGCTCAGCAGGGGCATTGACAGCGAGCGGAGTCGTCGAATGATCAAGTGGTTGCAATGCGTTGCCAGAATTTGGAGAACGCGCCATGCGTCTCATGGTTGGAGCCTCAGAGAGACGCGCGTTGGAACCTAAATTTGAATCGCCAGTTTATACCGCCGATCAGGCAGCCGCGATGAGAGGCGGGCATCCGAGGAGACGAACCACGTGAAAATTCCTTCGTGGCAGCCGGGCCTCACGCGATGAGCTTCGAGGTGCGTCCCCGAGTAACTGCGCCGATGCATTGGCGGCCAGCGCGCGGTGACAGGCAAGGCGCACCGCGCGGCTGTCCAAAAGTCTGCATACTTAAGGTCGGGGGCCATGCCAGGGCGCCACGGGCGCCTCGCCTCTGCCGGACGGGGATTCTCACCGCAGGTTTCACAGCGCCGGATGCAGAGCAAGGTGGGCGCAGGCTAGGCTCGGATGCAATCGACAAAGAACAATTTGACCTGCGCGAAGAGGAAGAGCAACGCCCCTAACAGGGCGCGTGCACCGAATGGATCAGCAGCAACGAGTGGCGATCTCTCGGCAAGACGGGCCGATGCTTTAAACGGAATCCCTGGGAGAGGTTTTTGCGCGTTCATCGGCCCTTGAAGTAGCCTGGGTTAAAGTGGCACACAGGAAGTGGCAGGAGGTGGGCGAAGTTCAAACGAAAGAGGAAGACGCATATCCTCAACAATGACACGGGTGAAATCACGGAACCAGGCGACTGGGATGTCCAGCGAGGCGCGCAGGTAGTTCACCCCATCATTGGCCCGACCGAAGTCGGAGTCACGAGCGACCCCGCTGAGAGGGCCAACGGCTGCTCACACAACAACAGACCAGCGGATCAGTTACTTGAACTAGAACGACTGGAATACGATCCCATGACGGGTGCAATTATGGATGGATCGTTCGTCGCGGGGGCCCGCGAGGTTCGATCGAACGAGATAGCTAGCGGACGAAGCAGGCCAGCCAATGCCCGAATCAGATAACGACCAACATCGCCAGATGCGACGACGCGGTGAGAAGAAAGAGAAAATGCGCAGGCGCGCGCGAGCGAGACATACCCCCTCGTCAAGTTAGGGGGCGTGGCCGACAAGGAGGGGCCCACCCCCGGGTGACTAGCGTTGCGTAACGTGGCAGATCATCGGAGACGGGCCCGCAGGCGGCGTGATTGGCAGTGACAGGCGAGAGGAATTTATGCGAGCGCGTTGG